CTTTTGATATACTTTTTATATTTTGCAGTTTTGTTTTAATTGTTCTCATGAAATTTCAAACCTGCTTCATTGATCAGCATTGGTCACCTTCGCTGATGGACTTTGAGATGCCAACAAGTCAAAAAAATTAAGGCTTCTCTCTGGTGTGCGTTTTTTGATGAAACTTCAGACTTCCCGTTGTTGTGAATTTCTTCTCACAGAGGTCACAGGTGTAGGGCTTCTCTCCAGTGTGGATACGTTGTTGATGAACCTTCAGGTTTCCCTTATCTGTGAATCTTTTCTCACAGTGGTCACAGGTGTAGGGCTTCTCTCCAGAGTTGTTGAGCTGCTGTTGGTTGAAATTCTCTGACTTACTGGAGCTCTCCTCACTCTGGCCACTGCATTGTGGTCCCTTCTGGAGCTTTGACTGACTGGATCAGCTGGTCCTCACTGAAACCACCTCCACCTTTGTCTTCGGGTTCWTCTGGACCTTTGCAGTTCTGATTCTGATACACAAGAATGAAACCTTTTCACCGTTTCTTCCAGCCGAGCATCTCTGACTCCTTTTTTTTCTGCTTTTTGCTCGTCAAACATCGACACRGTCTCTTAATGTAGGCCTGTTCCACTGTTACCCTCACACGTCTTCCTGTCAGCTCCTTATTCTCTTTCTTTTGATCAAATCTTGAGGCGTGCGGCTGATTCAGGATGATGGCGGTAAGCGGTGTCACTTTCTCCTCAGTGGCAGGCTCTGGCAGTGTGTTTTGGTAGTGTTCTTGGATGTCTTCTCAGCTTCGTTTCATTCCTTAGCTCAGCACAAACCCCTAATGGACCACTTCTTCACTGTGCTTTACGCATTAATGATCCACTTAGACCTCATTTCTCTTCATCTGTTGCAACTTTTTTTTTTGGTCCCTGAGCTCACATGCAGRCATGTTTCAGAACAGATTACTGTCACACAAAGTCCATTAGAGAAGTTGTCATTGTATTTTGTAGCTCGTGTCCTATTCCTTCTCAAAACTTGTTTTATTTAGTGTCTCTGTCTCTTTGCATGGATATTTAAAGCTTCCTGCAGGCTGTTATGAAGATGGACTTCTTTTCAACAGAAGAAAAAATGGTACCACTTTACAATTAGGCTCCCCTTATTGATGGGTTGTAAATAGTTTATAGATAGGTTATTRTTTAATCTGTAAACACTGTATAAATCATTAATAAGTGTTTATTATTCATTAATTAAGGAAGAGAAAGAGACCAAATTGTCCGGTTTCTTGCCAAATAGTGTGCCAAATCTGTTCGTGTATATATTACATCTAAAGGTGCTTTATTAAACATTTTACACTAGTTTACTACCTTGTACGCACAATAATTGATTGAAAACACATATTTTTCATATAATATTGTACTGTATTACTGCATTATACATATCCACAGTAATCAAAGGGAGCCTTATTATAAAATGTAAAACAGTATACCATTTATTAATGACTAATAATGTCATGACAGAGCCTCATAAATAGTGTACTGTTTTACACTTTACAATAAGGCTCTTTATGGCGTTTATACAAGTTTATTAGTCATTAATAAATAGTGTACCTACTGTCTCACATTTTATAATAAGGCTCCCTTTGACACTTGTTAATATGTATAATTCATTTATATAGCACAATATTATGTTTTAAACATGTGTTTCCAATACATAATTGTGCTTACAAACCTAGTAATATGTACACAAAAYATTTGGCTTACTATTTGGCAAGAAACCGGACAGTTTTGTTTCTTTCCTGCGCTAAATTAATCCATAATAAGCATTTATTAATGATTTATAAAGTCTTTACAGATGAATCAATAACCTCTCTATAAACTATTTATAACCCATCTATAAGGGGAGCCTTAAGGTAAAGTGGTACCGAAAAAATACAGTAAGAATGGAGTCGTAAAGATTTAATTTAACATTGTTTTGCAACACTTTGAAGATTAGCCCAGCTGAGCGAGCTGTCTCTGTGCCAAAAAAATAAAATAAAATAAAAATACAAAAGGAGACTCTCTACTTTTAGGAGACAGTACAGGTTTATTTCAGACCACAAGCAACTCTTCTCTGACACTGCTGCGCACACGCTTTCTCCACCTCGGCAGCACAGATGGTAAAAATAGCTCGGTGTGGGAAGTTTTGGCAAAAGACGGACAGCTTGATGCCTGCACGGAGGAGAGTGTAGCACAACATACCTACCTACTGTGGGCGACTGTCAGTTTTAACAGGGAGGAGGGAGAATATCTTCTCTAAACACTGTTCAAGAAATAAGAAGCATATTTCTACTGCAGCTGTTTGTACTGAAAGGGCACTCTGTTTCTTAAAAGACAAATATTTGCCTCAATTTTTACTCTTTATGTCAAATAGTTCGAGCATAAAGCTGCATTAAGAATTATTTTCATACAAGCAGTAAATTAGATGTGTGAGCTTTGAAAGGTGGCTTTCATGCAGTTTGTGTCGGGAGCTTTTAGCTCATTGTTTAGCCACGACTACTCCTGGCACTAATGTGGAAATGAGACGTGATGTGAGAGGAACATACACACACACACAAGCACTCGCACAATAAAAACATACTGGTTACACGATAGTAATTAATGTGGTGACTGACTTCTTAAATCATATGTACTTTCAACATTAAAGACTGATTAATATGTTTCAGATCAGTTTTTTACAGAGTCTGTGACATTACTTGAAAATAAAATTAATGCATGGCCACAAGRTAATTTGAAGGAGATGTATCTTTTTGAAAGAGATRCAGACATTGTTGAAGTCAGATCACATATGAATGAGCTGTTTTTGTTTTTAACGATTCAAAGGTACYTCACACTTATTAGTTTTTTTGATGTATGTTTAATCCACGCGTTAACTATATTGTGACCACGCATTAACTGTATTGTGGCAATRCATTAACTATCTCATGAAAACCCGTCAAAGATCTTGTGGCAACACAAAGATTTYGTGGCCACCTGTTAACAAGCTCATGGCCACGTGTTAATGATCTCATGGCCATGTGTTGTTTAGAGGCGGCCGTTAACAATTTTTTGGCCACTTGGTCAGACCGTTTGGCCACGGATTAATGGTCTTGTGGCCACCCATGAACTGTTTCATGGCCATGCATTAACTATATCAACAATACAAATTAACAATCTTGTGGCCATGCGTTAACTATCTCATGGCCACAYGTTATGCTAACTATTTCATGGTCAAACATTATTTTGTGGCAACCCATTGACAATCTCATGACCACCCATTACCAATCTTGTGGAAACACATTAACAATCTTGTGATCACACGTTATCTTGTGGCAACCCATTAACAATCTTGTGGCCATGCATTAACAATTTCATGGCCATTATGTTTTGTTAACTATCTCATGGCCACATCTTATCTTGTGGCAACCCGTTGACAATCTTGTGGCCAACCGTTACCAATCTTGTGGCCACACGTGATCTTGTGGCCATGCATTAACAATCTTGTGGCCACATGTTATCTTGTGGCAACCCATTAACAATTTTGTGGCCACCCATTAACAATCTCGTAGCCAGCCACATGTTGATCTCCTAGCCATGTTGTCTCGTGGCAACCCATTAACATTCTCGTGGCCACCTGTTGATGATCTCGTGGCCATGCATTGATGATCTTTTAGCCATGCATTAACAATCTTGTGGCCATGCATTAACTACCTTGTGGCCACGCATTAACTACCTTGTGGCCACG